GGTAGCCAGCAAATGAGTATTTTGCTTGAGGAAGGAGAAATTGTGCTTATATCTCTAAAATCAGTTTAAGCTATGAAGCTCAGGTTTGTTTAACCACAACCACCAGCAGGTATTGAGCCCTGTAAAAATGATAACAAACAATCTAACCATCTCACAGTAGCTGCAGGTCCAATGTTGTCCCTAAACAGTATTAGTTTGTATTAGCATTCCTGTTTTGTCCATAGAAAAGTAATTTGGGGCTTGGCTTCTCTTCCTGCAGATAGTTTGAGTCCTAACTTATTTGGAAGGGATATCATTAGAATGTTTTCTAACCTGCCTGATGTTTTCTTCCCTGTGAACTGTCTTTTATGTTTGCCTGAAGGTATCCAATAGACATAAGATCACTGCCGGATCCAGCTGAAAATATTGTCAATGCCTAGGAGCACCTGAATGCCAAAGCACATCTTTACAGGCTCAGCAGTCAGTTAAATTGCAAACGGTGCATGATAATGACTAATCCTATTTCTTGCAATGGATGTCAAAAAGCATTTAGCTGTTCTTTTGAAAGATACAAAATTATCATTATACAGCAAATGAGTCTGCTGGTGCTGCTTTGTAGTCTTTTTTCAGCTTGTTTTGTTAATGAAATGGTTGAGTTTACATGTTTATTTGCATAGGCTTTTGTTTTAACCAGCAGGACAAAGTAGTCTCTAGCATTTTATTTTGATATCCTGTATTCTTTAGATTTAGACCAGAAACAACCCTCTGCAGTTTTTGACTTTTGCAAAAAAAAAAAAAAAAACCCCACAAAGCACATTAAAGGTGAAAAAATAAACTTAAATGTATGTGAGTTATGTAATTTTTAAACACAGAGTATTTTGTCATTTAACTACTGTGTTGGGGTAGATAGCCTACATCTGGACAAGCTCTGGGATTTCATGTTGTACATTAAGCTGCCCCACTATCAAAACCCTCCTATATATCAGTCATGCTTAACTGAAACGTAGCCGGGGGCCAAATTGTGCAGCTAATGCTGCAAGGGCCACATTTGTTGTGGGGAGTTCTGTTTATAAATACGGCACAATGTTGGAAATGAATAGATATATAATATTTTTAAATGACGTCCTGACATTAATTTCTGCATTCAATTATTGCACAATTATAAATCATACTTGCAGAGGTGAAACTTTTTTTCTGAACAACTCAACTGCAAACCTAATTAATAGTAGGGATTTCATTTGTTTTAAAATCCTAAAATGGCCAAGGCCATCAGTTCCAAAAAAAACGTCCTACAATTTCAGTACGAGGAGTAACCTAAACACTAACCCCCCTTTAACCCTTACCCTCACACTAACCTTCCTTGTAACCAGCAGATGAGTATTTTTCTTGGTGAAACTGAAATGTGCTTGCATATCTAAGGGTACATTCACACTTGCGAATGCACCCACACTTTGATTAGCTGTGAGAACCCCAGCGGGGGGTTCCCACAATTAGCTGTAGGAGCCAGCAGCACCCTTGAAAACAATGGGTAGTTGTGGCCACTCACATGTAATCGCTCATGCAGCAACTGCATGCAAGTGTTTGGCCCTGGACACAGGCAGGCATAAAGGGTTTTGGTGATTCCCACAAGATTAGTTAGATTGTTTTAAAATCTTAAAACAATCCTGGCCCCACTCACTCTTGCCCATCCTGTAACCTAAACACTAACCCCCCTTTAACCCTAACCCTCACACTAACCTTCCTTGTAAACTTAACCCACCCTACAATTTTAACCATTCCTGTATTACTAACCTTTGCACAAACCCTTACTATGGCACTAATTCTCACACTAACCTTCCTTGTAACCTGAAACCTCCTTCAACACTAACTGTTTCTGAAATACTAACCTTTAAACTAACCCACCCTATGACACTAACCCTCACAATAACTCTTCCTATACACTAAACCTTCCTATAACACTAACCCTAGCACTAACCCTCCCTTCAACACTATTCATCACACTAACCCTTCCTATAACACTAACCCTTCCTATAACACAAACCCTAACACTAATCCTCTCTACAACACTAACCCTCAAACTAATTCTTTCTATAACACTAACCCTTCCTACAACACAAACCCTAACACTAATCCACCCTACAACACTAACCCTCAAGCTAATTCTTCCTATAACACTAACCCTTCCTATAACACAAACCCTAACACTAATCCACCCTACAACACTAACCCTCCAACTAATTCTTCCTATAACACTAACCCTTCCTATAACACAAACCCTAACACTAATCCTCCCTACAACACTAACCCTCCAACTAATTCTTCCTATAACACTAACCCTTCCTATAACACAAACCCTAACACTAATCCTCCCTACAACACTAACCCTCAAACTAATTCTTCCTATAACACTAACCCTTCCTATAACACAAACCCTAACACTAATCCTCCCTACAACACTAACCTTCCAACTAATTCTTCCTATAACACTAACCCTTCCTATAACACAAACCCTAACACTAATCCTCTCTACAACACTAACCCTCAAACTAATTATTCCTATAACACTAACCCTTCCTATAACACAAACCCTAACACTAATCCTCTCTACAACACTACTCAAACTAATTCTTCCTATAACACTAACCCTTCCTATAACACAAACCCTAACACTAATCTGCCCTAAAACACTAACCCTCAAACTAATTCTTCCTATAACACTAACCCTTCCTGTAGTATCAACACTCACATTAACTCTTCATATAACAGTAACCCTTCCTATAGCACTAACCTTCACACTAACCCTTCCTATAACACTAACCATCACACTAACCCTTCCTATAGCACCAACCTTCACAATAACCCTTCCCATAGCACTAACCTTCACAGTAACCCTTCCTATAACAGTAACTATTCCTATAGCACCAACCTTCACACTAACCCTTTCTATAACACTAACCATCACACTAACACTTCCTATAACACTAACCATCACACTAACCCTTCCTATAGCACCAACCTTCACAATAACCCTTCCTATAGCAGCAACCTTCACAATGGCCCTTCCTATAGCACCAACCTTCACAATAACCCTTCCTGTAGCACCAACCTTCACAATAACCCTTCCTATAGCACCAACCTTCACAATAACCCTTTCTATAGCACCAACCTTCACAATAACCCTTTCTATAACACCAACCTTCACAATAACCCTTCCTATAGCACCAACCATCACACTAACCCTTCCTATAGCACTAACTATCACACTAACCCTTCCTATAACACTAACCCTCACACTAATTTTTCCTATAACAATAACCCGCACACTAACCCTCACACCAACCCTTCCTATAACAGTAAAGATGGTCATACATGGGTCAATTTCCGAAAGAATTTTCTTTCGCAAATCTTTTCTGACAATTTTAATTAGAATTTTGCACAATTAGTGGGCCACAACAATGTCCAATTTTCAAGAGACTATCAAATTTGAGTGATCAGGCATGTTGGAAATTCTTTGAAAAACGAACAAATTTATAATCCATGATGGGATAATTATGCGAGAAATGTAATTGAGAAAAGAAATGAGCATGACCTGACCTGGAAAGGATAAAAAATTCTTGGCCACAAAAATTCTTTTCTGTAGCAACATGGTGTGAAATTAAAGGCTTGGTTGGTTGAATTTCTAAATCTATGGTGGCACCATCAGAGTACAAAATGCACGAAAATTCCAATTTTCTAAAGAAAGTTTGTTTGGAATTCAACCCATGTATGGCCTGCATAAGCCTTCCTATAGCATTAACCCTCACACTAACCCTTTCTATAATACTAACCATCACACTAACCCTTCTTATAGTGCTAACCATTCCTATAACACTAATCCTTCTTATAATACTAACCCTTTCTATGACATTAACCTTTCCTATAACACTAAACCTAACACTAACCCTTCCTATAGCACTAATCATCAGACTATTCCTTTCTATGACATCAACCCTAACACTAATCCTTACTATATCTCTAACCCTCATGCTAACCCTTTCTATAACACTAACCTTTCCTGTAACACTAACCCTTCCTGTAGCACTAATCATCAGACTATCCCTTTCTATGACACCAACCCTAACATTAACCCTTACTATAACTCTAACAATCACACTAACCCTTTCTATAACACTAACCCTTTCTATAACACTAACCTTTCCTATAGCACTAATCATCAGACTATCCCTTTCTATGACACCAACCCTAACACTAACCCTTACTATAACTCTAACCCTCACACTAACTCTTTCTATAACACTAAACCTAACACTAACCCTTCCTATAGCACTAATCATCAGACTATCCCTTTCTATGACACCAACCCTAACACTAATCCTTGCGATATATCTCTAACACTAACCCTTTCTATAACACTAGCCTTTCTATAACACTAACCTTTACACTATCCCTTCCTATAACACTTAACTTTTCCTATAACTGCAATAACTTATGAATGATTTCAGAAGTCTTTCAAACTGATGTCAAAAGCATGCTGCGTTTATCAGTTGACACAGCCCATTGACACAGGTCTTAACACTGCCTGTAACCTGAATCTTCTCTACAACTCTAACCCTCATACTAACTTTCTTTGTACTGTAACTCCAAAGGTTCATGCCTTCAGGGCTTAAAAAAATGCCACTTTTACGGATGTTTTTTTTTTGCCTGGAAAACACACCTCCATCTTAGCTTATGTGTCCATACACGCATAGGAGTTTATAGGTGTATTAGAAGATGAGCGTAATCTTAACCATACCTGTAACCCTAACCCCTAAACTAATGGTCCCCATAACAATAACCTTCCACGTCACCCTAACCCTACCTGTAGCACATTTGTAATGTTTTCTATGTGGCTTTAATAGATTACAGATTGAACCTTCTTTTAGCCTGCAGTTGCAATGCAATGCTTTGAATTCATTGTAAAGTGACCGGAATAATGTAAAGAATCTTGTGACAGGATTCCTAAAGGGTGTCTGTTTTTTTAGGCAGGAGGAAAGCACTATCACCCAACATGTGCCCGCTGTGTACGCTGCCAGCAGATGTTCTCAGAAGGAGAGGAGATGTACCTGACAGGTAGGACATTTGTCACTGGGGCTTTGCTTAACACTGTCACAATGTCATCTCCTACTGTATATACCATCAGAGGCCTATCTGTTATACTCACATCACTTCTTTATGTTACCTTTTCCTCTCTATAGCACAGATCCATAACAGAGCTCATTATGCAGCAAAAAAAATGATGTCTTATCATTGTAATGTTCAAGGATTAACAGCGATCAGTTACTGAGATTAATCAAAGCAAGACACTGTCTACTAACAAAGAGCAAAGCAAGCAATCAAAAATCAGATATCTGCAGTTTAATCATTCTAATGTTCTGGGACAAATCCAAGCTCATCTGCAATGCTGCTGCCCTGCTCCCCTTGCTGCCCTCACCTTAGCCACTCTTTCTTGCTGCAACATTTTTAACAAAGGCAGTGTTGAGGAAGGGAAGTGGCTTTGGACTGTAATGTGCAGTAATGGCCACAATCTCCATTCTTTGGTCATATGGCCTCACGTAGCAAGGAATGGAAGGAAATGTGATTCTAAAGTGTTTAAATAAAGAAACAGTTAGGCCCCTTTCACACTGGTGGATTCCACCAGTGAATCCGGCTGCTCAGTAGGGAACCTGTCCACTGATTCCCGCTGAGCAGATGACAGGCCCATGTCTGCTCCACTTATGCAAAGCAAACACAGACAGAGCCTGCTGTCCTCTATGGTCGGTCGAATGTAAAGGGACCACCTGTTTACATCTGACTGTCATCTGATCTGCTAGACAGATGGGGCATGGATCCCCATCCATCTGTTTTTAGCGGAAAGGATCGGATCGGATGCAGGCAGGTGTAAACGGACACATGTCTCCATAGAGGGCAATGGATGTTCCGATCAGGTCCGCCTGAAAAATGGACATACGGACTTGATCAATCCACCCCAGTAAAAGGGGCTTAATGTGGGTATAGGTAGAGGGAGGGCCACCCTCCTTGATTGGAGTCCAGCCACAGTTGCAACAGCTGCTTTTTCTGTTCCTACACCACCGGTGACCTATGATTAGTTTTCATGAACCGGTTCACATGAGATTAATGATCAGGAAAAAAGTGCATGTCATCACTTTTTACAGATTTCTGAACTACAAAAAATGATGTTAAGCTGAAGCATACATTATTTGCATTTAAAGAAGGATTCCAGGTAATGCATTTAATACATAGTCACATTGGTCCAGCTTAAATATATACCATTTTTGTGGGATCCCTCTAGAACAGTGTTTCCCAACTTTTTTTCAGTAAAGACACCCTTTAAAATTATGGACAGTCCCGAGGCACCCTTTAAAATTATGGACAGTTCTGAGGCACCCCATTTTAAAATGGGGTGCCTCTAGACTGTCCATAATTTTAAAAAGGCACCCCATTCTAAAATGTGAAAACCTATTTAACAGTTTTATATAATGCAGCAACATCTACACATGTAGGACACCCAACATTAGAGGTGACTTATTCTTCCAAAGCAAATACACTTTTGCACACTGGTACTGAGTAATATTCCATTGTTTCTCTTCTCCCTCAGTTTTTCTCTGACACTGAGCTAATGTGACCCCCAGCACTGACGGAGAAGGGCAAACTAGGATGCTGTGCAGGAAGCTAACATTCTCCTTATCAACTGATGATGTCATTGGTTGTCAGGACACCGGCGGCTAGAAGGTCGTAATGGTGCACAATGAAAACCTGTGGCTTTCTATAACTAAAAGGCAGGCTTGTACCACCCGCTGGCTTGTATACAAGTTTTGGGCAATTTGTGAACATTTTGCCAAGGCACCCCTAAAGAAACCTCAAGGCACCCCAAGGTGCCTGGGTACTTTGGTTGAGAAAGGCTGCTCTAGAAGTTGGAATCAATGTAGTAGGCACACCTACCTCAGTGATTTACACTTACTTCTGGATCCTGTGCCAAGAAGCGGTCTGCTACAATGTGAACACAGGAGGTTGGCCGCTTGGCACAGACACAATTCCGAGAGAGCATTGCATTTTCTCAAAGAATGCAAAGCATTTTTTGATTAGATGAGGTAGAGAGCATGACATTGCTGTCCCACCTCTCCATCCAGTCCAATCTGAGAATGTTTTGCATTCATTGAGTGCGAAGCATTCTCTGAAAGGCGCCTGTGCCAAGTGGACAAATTCCTGTGTTCACAATCTAGCGGAGCAGCGTATGGGCATAGAACCCCTAAGCTACTAGAAATCACTGGAGTAGTGGTGTCCACATCAGTAATTTCCAGCTTCTAGAGTGATCCCATGGTATATGCATAGTTACATTGGTCCAAGCTGGACCAATGTTACTATGTTAGATATGCCATACCCTAAATTCTTCTTTAAATTTAAGGTGGAACCAAAACTTTTTTGCTCTTTTAATGGAAACCTTTCCTTAGAGAGACATGCAGGCTGGCATTGCTAATTTTTATTCTGCAAATGCTTGCTTCTTGGCTGTCATGTTTACACTTTAATATTTTGGGGGTTATTTACTAAAACTAAAGAGTGCAAAATCTGATGCAGCTCTGCATAGAAGCCAATCAACTTCCAAGTTTTATTGCCAACGCTTAATTGAAGAAGCTGCAGTTAGAAGCTGATTGGCTACCATGTACAGCTGCACCAGATTCTGAGGGCACCAGTTTTAGTAAATCTCCCCCTTTGTGTCCTTTACCTGAAAATAGCTTGCAGATGTGGATGTCTCACTCTACTTTGACATTTCAAATATGCTTGCCTGTTCCAAGTCAGTGACTCAAACCTTAGTGAGCCGAGTCCATTAGCATACTAGCCATACAACTAGAAGGGGATTGACAATGGCAACTGCCACTATGTCTCTCAAAAAATGTTTGCTTAACTAAGAAAGGGCTAGACCCTCTATCAACTTTTTATTGTTGCCTGTGTCCTCACTTGGGTCTTGTCCCGATGATGACTAGTAGACTGCTAAAACACCCTTACTGTCTTGCTCTAGGGAGCATCAACTATACAGTCTGGTGCCTGAAAACATGAAAAAGGTTGTCTGTGCCCATCCTACTTATTACATCATACATACAGACAGCACAGCTTGCAAAGAACAATATCATTATGCTTTTTTCAGGAGGCATGGGGAAGAAGAAAGCATATTTAAAATGTTGTGCTAAATCACACATATTCTTTAACTGGTGATGATTAACTATTTTTAGCTTTTTATATAAAACATTATCCCAATTTCTGCTTTAGACCTGCATGTAGTAATTAACCAATGTATTATAAACTTGTGCAGTTTGGCTGCTAAAATGTATTTCTTGTTGAAATAACCATAGTGTGATGTGATTATCAATAACAGATTGATATTCATTTTTGAACAGACGCTGAGTTTTATTGATCGGCAGACCTGCACAACCTATTTATTGTGTCCAAATTCTCTGAGTTGTATTGGTGGAAAGATGTATAACATTCTTTATATATTAAATATTACAGTTTATAGACAGGCTGTACAGATTCCATATGCTTTCCAACAAATGAATTACACCAAAATAACTGTTGTATGTGTGAGTTTAATATATGCTGCAGTCAGTAATGTATTTATAAACCAGCTAAAAGATTACATCATCGCACATTTTCACTCCCTATGGATCACTGCAAAAGACATTTTTGGCGCCCTCTGCTGGCTTGATTTGCATATTGTAGCATATTTTCAGAAGCGAGCACCTGAACTTGCTGCAGACAGCCCAAGTAAAAATCATTTAATTTTTTTTTTAAGCCTTTTAATTTTCAAATCTCTAAGCTAATTAAACAGTGAATATTATTTCTTATTCAGAGTATCACTTTATTTGGGGGGGGGGAGTGTATTGCTATCCTTTTGTACAGAAACTATTAAGTTCCAAATACATCTGTCAAATGTGTTTAATCAGTTTACAGTGAAAGCTGCTGCAGGTTAGAAAGTCTGCTATTCATTGTGAATTCCCTGTACAGTTGCGTGGGTTGGTCACCTTTGGATGCTCCCCACGTTCCCAGCAGTGTCCTGGAAACAGACACCAAACAGCATATTTCAATGCACAGCCCTCTGTGGCTTCATTGTTAACTGTTTCCACATTTGTCAATAAATACCATCACAGCGCAAGAGTTTTAATTTACCATGTTTGCTGAGCGCTGTATACTGACTGTTTCTTGGAGATGTAAATCCCCATCATGCCTTGTGTGCCAGTAGCACAAAGAATTCAGACAGAGCTATTATCTAGGATTCCCAAGAGAGCCGTCATGATGCTGAAGGTGACCTTCAAATACTGCTGTGTGTACCGAAGATCCCATTAACTGCCAGTGATCTATGAAAATGTGTTTTCATAGGGCAAAATGTGGGGCGCAGCAAAGCGCTGTCTAATTCTGCTTTTTATTATATTAGCTTCTAGGTTCCACTTGGTCTCCTTTGCTGTCATTACTTTTTCTTTTTTTTGCGCTCATACCTGTTAATGGAGTGCTTCTAATTACCTGCCATTATTATTGTTAAATGGAAATTTCTGTTTTATCCAGGCTCTGAAGTGTGGCATCCAATCTGCAAGCAGGCGGCTCGGGCAGAGAAGAAGCTTAAGGTGCGTGGACTGTATATGGTGTTTTTAACCCTCTAAGGACTATCCGCTCATTATATTGCCATTGGTCTGTTTCCTTTTCAATATTTGTTACATTTTATACTTTTTTTGCAAAGTGAATTTATTTTTTAACATTGTAGTATTCCAGAAAAATAGTAGCTGCTTCAGTATTTTAGAGCTTACATATTTCTATTTTATTTTTATTTATATATATATTTTTACATAGGAAATGAAACAAGAGGCTCCCAGCACAAACCCTGGTAATCAGCAAAGCTGATCTGTGTTATCTTTTTCAGATTTTAGTCCTCATGCACACTTGACATTTTTACAGCTGCTGTTTTTGGCTTTTGACGTTTTTTTTCTACAGCTACTAAACCCCCAGTATGTTATGCTATGTGTCCATGCACACATAGACTGTAATCAACATTTTTTGGCTGGAAAAAAAAAACAGAACTAGTGGGTTTCTAGAGGACTTTTTTAGCTGAAAAACGCAGAAAAACATGGTAAAACGCTGCAAACCTGCGTTTTTGGGGGTTTGTTTCACCCCCCCCAAAAAAATTATTTTTTTTCAGTTAAAAAACGCAAACGCAGAAAAACTCTTCTAAACGCTAATTCAAAAACACTGAAAAACTCATGTTTTTATTGCTGTCTGTGTCTACATTAGGGAGATTCACCCTCTCTATTTGTCCAGTTTACCAATATCATTGCAAGTCAAAGTAAATGAAAATCCCACATTTTGGGGGTTTTCCCAAAAAAGTAATAGAAAGTAAATCTTCCAATGAGGATATTAGTTCTGTTGACCTGGGGGTCCCCAAGGAATTAATTTGCAGGAATTTCCTCTCACTTCACATTTAACTGTAGGACAGGAAGCAAAGATAAATCTCCCCAATGGAGCACAGATGGCCAAATCATTCTGACAGGGGTTTTACCGTCCCTTAGTCTAGCCAAAATGGGGGAAAAAAGTTAGTTCTACTCAGTGGCGTCACTAGGCTTGGTGTCACCCAGTGTGGTAAAACTATGGTGTCACCCCTCCAGACTTCTCTATGGACCTCCTCCGAGTCCTCCTGTACCACAGTCTATCAGACCATACAGAATCGCCTATAAGCCCTTTTTTAGTAAAAATTCATCGCTTATATCCTACGAATTTCAATTCTGGTAATGCGCTTGTTCGAGGTCGAAGTTCTTTACTGAAGCTGATTGGCTGCGATGACGTAATCACATGACTTGGGCATTTAAGTTCTTTGCGATTTGTTGTCTGGACGTTAGATTCGATCACATGCGCAGTTCCTTTCTGTTCCTTAATCCCGCTTATTATTCGTTTCGTCTAATCAATCCAGAATTTGGCACCACTGCCTTCCAAAGCGCGTGGAGATGGTTTGGCCCAAATAGAATTTCTGCTCTGTAGAAATAACATTTTTTCATTTTGGTGTCACCCGGTGTAGCCTGCACCCCCCACACCCACCTAGGGACACCACTGGTTCTACTTTAAGCAAAAATGAGCATTTACCCTAGCAGTGTTGGAAAGGGGGCACTGCAAAGGTAGTTTGTTTCTTGTGCCTGGAGTTGGGCTTTGAAAGTGTGTTGCTTTATTCGATAAAAAAATACCTGTTGATCCTACAAGAAATCTTGTGAGCCGATAATTTTCTGTATTCTCTGTCTGTACTGCATTCTTATCAGCTGCATTGTTCACAAGTCTATCTGTGGGCTATAAAACACTTCACACTTATGCTATGGAGATAAGAAGGGTGGGGTGTTCTGAGTCCTAACACAACTGCTGTCCTAGGGTGACAATGCTTCTCTGTACATACCGTACAATGAGTATGGGTTGTCACCCAAGATAAGACGTATGTGACTGGCAGAAGTTAAAATAAAGCAAAGACGTTCAGAGACTCACTAGAGCAAGTGATAGAAACTCAAATGACATAGACTGTTCAGACAATGATGGCCTACAGACAGCCTACATTCAGGGTCCAGAGGTTCTGTATCTGCAGATGGGGATGTCCTTGTTCAGAGCACATGATTGTCTTTCTCCTTAAAATCTCCCCCAGAGCAACACTGGTTAAACAAAAAAAAAAAACCTGTCTGTATTTACCCTGCTTCAGTAAGAACGTACATTTCAAGTCTGTATTAAGTTCACTAAAAACTAAAAAGTAGTCCAACTTTTCAAAATAGGTCGGTATAGATGGTGTGTTCCCTTATGTGTAGCACAGGTTAGCTTTTGGCTGCATCCTTTTTTATGGTCTCGACGTTCACCTGCAAATTTAGTCTCTATGCACACTGGGTGTTTATTTCAGGTGCCTGGGGATCTGGCATTTAGCTGCAGCAAAGGGTACAGGTACCCCAACCAACCCCACAACCAGCAGCCTGTCAAACGTTATTAGAAGCTAAAAACTGCTGCAGCTGGATGGGGTTGGGCAATGCACCTAGAAGTATAACTTCTTGCATTTCCGACATTCATCCCTGGGCACATACTGGCCTAAACGATTATATCATTTGGTGCACTACTCAGCCCTGTCCAGATGCAGCAGCTGTCAGCCTCATAGAGTTTGACAGGCCTCTGGCAGTGGGGTTGGATGGGACACCTGTGCTCTTTGTCCTCAGCTAAACTCCAAAGCCCCATGCAACAGAGCTAAACGCTCAGTGTGCATGGGGACTAACTGCTGGTGAATTTGATATTTTTACAAAATATTGAAAAATTTGTAAAAATATATATGATGTCACCTTGTTTGTCTAGACTTCTGCCCATCAAGAGTTCCTTCACACATCTTCACTCCATGCCATTTTATGCTGTACTATGCAATAGTTCACCAGTGCTTAAAGATTTGTGTCCTGACCTATCCCCAGTCTTCTCTACTGACCCCTAAAAATGGCTATTGGAGACATACGGGGGCAGGTAAATGTAGGTCAGGGTGTGACAATCCAGGTTTTGGGTGGAATTTACATAACAGATCATCCTTTCTTGGCATTCTGGAAACACATGGAAGTTTTGCTGAAGGTACCAGGAGTCATTTTACCATCTTTGATACCACTGCAGTATATTTTAACTCTGGTTCTTGCATTTTAGTAAATGAGAAACACTTGGCCCATACACAACAGCTAGCACTGCAAAATAGTGTCCAGGACCTCTAACACTTCTTTCATTTCAGCAAAGTCAGAAAAGGGAAAGAAATCCACATGGAACCTGATATTTATATATAATAGATGCCCTCCTGGTTTAATTCATTCCACCCTAAATGCACAAATGAGATGTAAACAGGATGATGCAACAAAATGTGCCTGAGTGAGAGGGGCCTCATTATCTCTTGTTCAGCTCAACTATTACTAATGACAATATACTGTTTATTCCAGAATGGATTTAATGAATCAATTTTGTTCCAGTGCACAGGCGAGATGCAGAGAAAATAAGAGAGACTATTAAATGTAAAAAAAAAAATAGCTTGTGTAAATGTCATGTTTTATTTAGAATTTTGATCAAGCAGACACTGAAGAAAATTAAGGGTCACTGTAGTTTTTTGCACTCACTGTATAGAGTACTTTCTTTTGTTCTTTTGTGGTTATATCTACTTAAAACCTAGCTTCAGCCAAATGTTTTTTTAAGTATGGGATGTCAGTAAGCGCTCTGGATACATAAAACATATAAGCTGCTGGTATTAAAGGACCACCCTTGGAATCCTCACTGATAGATGAAATAAAAAGGTGCAGCGCTCCAATAATGAATATAATACTGAAATGAATTATTAAAATATGCGCATATATGTGGACAGATGTTAGTGGAATGAATAAAGCAAAAATATGTAAAAAAACATACGCATATAAGTATGAGTGAAATGGATTAGACAGCAATAAGTAGCAATAATGGAAAAAACAGCAAAGTGTGGCACTCTGATTTGCGCTATCAATATGAAACATGTGAATAAATGAATAATCAATCTGAGAATAAGTTGATCAAGTATAGTGGTAGTATGTGTGACACTGAAAGGTCAGTGTTAGGTGATAAAATATAAATTAGTGACTTATTGTGATAAACACTGAAATTAAAAAAGTCCAACAATAAATCCGTGAACAGGTGACTTCCAGTGCTGGTGAATCCGTGAGAAGTGTTTCTCTTATATGCACTCACCAGAAGCGCATATACAATGCACATGAACACCTGTTTTCTCTCCCAGGTAGGTCAGGCAGCACATCTATTTTTTGTGGGACCATGAAGTCTAAGGCGATCTCAAATAGGGATTATGTCACCTCACAGCATGCCAACCGCGGTAGAATTCCTGAGGGATTAGCTCACAAAAAGAGCCAGAGAAAATCAGCTGATAGTGTAGTACTTTATTTAAGTGAGATACATCTACGTGGAGAAAGTACAAATCACAGCATAAAGCCACTCACAAAGATGGGCGCCGGACCTTCATGTGGCCCCGGCGGCATGACGTCGATGCGCAGGCTCCTCTCCGACACGTTTCGTGCGCGCGCACGTTTTCAAAGGGATATGCCTCAAATGTGTGACTTTTCAGTGTCATGCATACTACCACTATACTTGATCATCTTATTGTTTATTGTCAGATTTTTTTTTACATTGTCGCATGTTTTTTACGTATTGTTGCTTTATTCATTCCACTAAGATCTGTGCACATATATGCGCATATTTTAACAATTCATTTCAGTATTATATTCATTATTGGAGCGCTGCACCTTTTTATTTCTTCAAATTTTTTGGGGTTTTCAAAAGATTTAGAAAGAGGTAAAGTGGAAGGCAAGTCAAAACTTAACTAAGCTTAAATCTACTCCTATCCCCATTCTAAGCCTATTCTGTCTACCCTGTAAAGGAAAGATGCCTATACTTACCTATTCTGAAGTCTCTCTGGTCCAGTCACAATCTTCGGTGCCAACTTCAGTGAAGAGGAGAGATCGCCAAAACAACAGCTGCAGTGCCTGGACAATGTCATCACCCATACGCTTACTATGGGCATCCATTGTCAGCTGTCCCTTCTCTACACTGAAGCCAGTACTGGAAGCTGGGTATGTGACCGGACTGGAGTGACTTGAGAATAGGCATCTTTCCTTACAAGGTAGATAGAACTGGTTTAGAATGTGGGTGGGAGTTGACTTAAGATTAGTTAGGTTTTGACTTGCCTTCCACTTTAAGATTTTACTCAGGTTTTCATATCTGTTAACCCCTTGAGGAGAGGTCCCCTTGTTTCCCATCCCTATGATACTAGGATGAGAAATAGGGGAAAACAGGAATCCTAAGGCAGAAATAAAACCACAGCCAGAAGTTCTAACTCTTCCGCACTTTATGTGTTTTTGTCTGTTCCTGGTAAAGAAATTTTCCATTACTTTCTGTCCTGACAGGAAATGAGTGGAAATCTACCCAACAAGGACACAAACACCAATAATACCTGGTCGAGGCTTTGGTCCTTCTGAGGTCTATCCAAAACAGAATACGTTTTTCCTGAAGTTGGAGCTTATTTCCAGCACCAACCATAACCTAATATAATTTATTTAATGAAAGCAGTAGATTTATTTATTATGTATTGCTATCCAACTGTTTCCATAAGTATATTTGAAGAATGCCTATAAATATAAACTACACTACAAATTCTAGAACTATATTATAAAACTCTAATCCAAACCAAAACTGACTTGTCAAATACTCTCCTGATGGAAGACCTGTTTAGATTTTTGTTACACATTAACCTCTTGGGAGTCACAATTTTTTGCTGAGAGGGTATATTTGACATGTTACCTTATTTGCCAAATCAAAATAATTTGGGGCATACTTCAAGCTGCATGGGAGTCCATGGGGCCATGCTGTTTTTGCATCAGCTTCCATCATTGCATCATCATAACTGACATCAAGAGATATAGGAGAAAGTTCCTTATGGTTCATTTGAGCAAAGCTTTATCTTTTCCTGATTCTGCTGTGCTTAGTTATGATATACTTAGTATTTGGCATAGTCACAGATTTGTTAGAACCATGGTGACCCGCAAACATTAGAATGGGTTCAGTTAAAACATTTTTTTTTTTCTTTAGTGCAGAAACTCACTTCCTTTCAATTTACAGCGGTTGAGAAGTCAGTCAGTATGACTATAGTTTGGTTGGATTGTGGAAGGATTAGTACCCCTGTTAGGTTCTTACTGCGATCAGGAACTCCATTGGAGAGATATCCTCTCACTTACCATCCCAGTGACAGTAGTTTTATCAGGCAGAAAATGAAAAAATCTGCAAATGCAACACTGACAGAAATACTTTTCTTATTTAGAGAGGCTAAAACTCCTGTTTTCAGCTTTATATTGCTGCCCTTGTCCCTGTTGCAGATTTTTTCACTATAACCCATTTTAAAAAGTCAGTTTATCTCAAATCAATAACTTTAGCTGAAATTCACATACACATTTGAAAAGTCTCTCATCTTATCAAATGGCTCAGTCCAGTGTTTCCAACAGACACAGCTAACTGGAAAGACACTTTGCCTTGCAATCTCTTTAGTCATACTGCTCTGAGAATCCTTTGTCATGTATATGTATTTATGCATGTTGAAATATTTTGAAAAAGATATATATATATCAGTTTAAAATGCATAAATTCTTTCTTACATTTATAGAAAACTGACCCAAAACCCTTATAGTGTCACTTTAGAGACACTTCTATCAGATAGTAGATATTGCTGTCCGCTCCCCGCTGAACACTGCAAGATTTCTTCAAACATTTTATAACCCATTCATAAAATGTAGGCCACAGTGTGGAACGTTTGGTGTGCTATGGAATTCTCTTCTAATTAAGGGAGCTTAGAGAACTCTATCGCTGGAGATGGGGCTGATCACATAAGTTTGACAGAGTTTTTGTTATCGGTGGTATGTTCATGCAAAGGCAAACACCCCTTTTTAAATAGACTTCTTACTGAGGCCTATTTGTAGAACTTACATCAATGGGCTAGTGGACTTACAGTGGAACAATGGCTCAAAGCGCTTGGGCTCAATTAAGGGGACCACTTGTCCACTGCTGCAGTATATCACTAGTAGAAGTGTAGAATGTAAGCCCAAAAGAACAGCGCTAGGGATTCAGTAGTAGGAAGTCAAAATTCACCTCACCTAGAGGTATATCTTTATTGTTCTAATGATTAAAAGTATAAAAGTTGTAGGACAATGAGTGCCTCAAACTTGGAGAACACATTTCATATAAATATAGTTGGTAACCATGTACTTGCTAGACTTGAAAAGCGAATGCATGCGAAACACGTTGTTGTGGTTATCAGCCAAGCTTGTGCCTCACTCCCAGAGATCTAATTCCGCCCCCGTTCTGGTTGCAGTGACGTCACTTCCGGAGTGACGCGATCCCCGGCTAGTCCAGGAACACTCAGAGAACTAGCATCTCTTCCTGGTCCGGGGACACAGGTGAGAGGACACTCCACCTCAAAATGTCCTGGGTCGTCATTGTTCTGCAAGTTTGAGGCACTCATTCTTCTACAACTTTTATACTTTTAATCATTTGAACATTAAAGATATACCTCTAGGTGAGGTGAATTTTGATTCCCTACCAATGACTCCCTAGCGCTGTTCTTTTGGGTTTAAAGTGGACATACAGTACCTATCTATAGACATGTATTATTACTCTTGTATTGACATGTGATTGGTGGCACCATATGTCCCACAGTTGAAAGCAGCAACATAAAAACAATTATTTGAGTATTCATAGATTATGTTGTGTTGTTTTTATGTGTTCACAGTACAGAAGAGCTTCTGAGACTTCAATCTCCCCTCCGGGATCCAGCATTGGCTCTCCCAACCGGGTCATTTGTGTAAGTTTTTTGTGCTGAAACTGTATACATCAAATTTCTTGGAAGTGTTTGTGGGAAAATAACTTCATCTATAAATTAATTTGCTTGGCAGGCTTTTATTTCCTGTTTTCCTGTTTTTCCCGCCTGTTGGCTTCTATTTGCTTATTAATCCTATTTGACCTGCTTACAAGCTATGCTTTGTTTTGATCCCGAAGATTGTGACCTCTATCTATTCATGTTATTTGTATGACAGGGTGTGACAATGTGGATGACTGATTGGGATCTTGCCCTGCTACTAAAAAGTACACATCCAGATTTGTATTGAATCTTTATGCAGGCCATACATGGTTCCAATTCCAAACAAATTTTCTTTAGAAAATCAGAAATTTTGTGCGTTTTGTATGGAGCCACCATTGATTTTGAAATTTGACCAACCAAGCCTTTAATTTTACCTCATGTTGCTACAGAAAATAATTTTTGTGGCCAAGAATTTTCTTTTCTTTCCAGGTCACAGCTCATGCTCCTTTCTTTTTCAATTACATTTCTCGCACGATTCTTCCATCGTTGATTATAAATTTGTTTGTTTTTCAAAAAATTTCCAACATGCCCGATCACTCAAATTCGATGGTCGCTCAAAAATCATCAGTTGATGTGGCCCACTAATGGTGCAAAATTTCAATGAAAATTCTTAGAAAAGATTTTCGAAAGAAAACTCTTTGGTTATTCGACCCATGTGTGGCCGTCTTTAGTGACATCTGTTTTGTTTTTTCAGTAAAGTTTGAATTACATTGCACACACATCATACAACTAAAATTGCCCCACCCTTAATTGCTGAAAACCCATTTGCAGGCTTTCTATTGCATAAATTGCAATGTAGTGGTCAGCTATGAGTAAATGCGCACAATATTGCAAATCATGAATGATTAAAGGAAACCTGTATAGATAGAATATATGTGCTGCCATTGTTGTCCTCGACTTCCAATTCCTTGCTGCTATCCTGCTCTAGTAACTGCTTCAGTACCTTTTGAGTCACATGATCTGGAATACTTTGCTGGCTTGAAAGCAAGCTCAGAAACTAATTAATATGAACTTGTGTTTTGCCCACATAGGGCAGGGCAACAGGTTTAATGTAATGCTGACCTAACTAGTAGCCTTTCCTTACTTTCCCTTCACTCCCTTGCTTTCCCTTCACCCCCTCAGCTGCAGAAATCGAAGAGGATGCCTTGTGTAAACTCCAGGCCAAAGCCTGGAGCTTACACAGGGCTGAATACTCTCTCCCGGCCAGTGCTGTCATATGGGAGGAAAGGGCCAGTGTCACAGGTTTCCCATATAACCAGAGTGACAGAGAGTGGACAAAAGGTGAGTATAAGCTGCTGTAGTGCCACCTTTAGAGTGGATCTGTTTTTTCAGACAAAGGCTACCTGCATTTTTAGGGCAGCAGTAATGGCCTGCAGTTTCTTTCAGTATAGCTTCTCTTTAACATTATAGTAAAGGCTTTTTTTTGTTGTTGTTGCTAAAATTAAAAAGAGGTTATACTGACTGCTCTTTGCAACGCGAGGTTGTTTGCCCCTTCTTCTGGCAGTCCTCAGCTGGTGTTGTCCACTCCCCCATCCTCCGGGTGCCTCCAAAACAAGTCGGGTGGTAAGGAAGCACCCGTGCAGGCACACTCCTGACCCAGGCTGTGTGCATCCATAGACACGTATGCTGGTAGGCCACATCCTTTGCTCTCCTCACAGGAGTTTGACTGACAGCAGCAAGAGCCTATGCCTGCTGTTTCCCTCAGTATCTCCTGTGAAACCAGGCAGTAAGAGGAGCAGTGCAGGAACCGAGACAGCACTGAAGTGCTGACAGAAGCCAGGTAAGTGTTTAGGGGTGGGGGTAGATAGGACAGGCAGTGGGGCATTTTTGTACCTTAAAGTGTTACTAAACCCAGAACCCTGCATTCACTATATCTGGTCTCCCACAGTACACAGCACATGGAAATGAAATTATTTTAGTAAATATAAACTGTTAAATACCTTTTCTCATTAACAGTTAGAACAGTCTTGTGACTTCTATCAGTGTCCAGCAGAGCACTGGTTACAGCTTGTAGGAGGAGTTTTCATTCTCCTCTAGGAGGATGCAGGACCCCTGACCCTTTGTTTGGACAGTGCTGATTGGCCCTGTGCTGATCACATGCACTCTCCCAAGAGAAAAGAAAAAACCCTCTAGCAGTACACACCAAACTGAGCATGTGCAGAGTGACTCCAAACCTTTGTTCTATCAGGAGATATTTAGGGGACAGTGGAAGAAGGGGAGGATCAGAGAAGAGAGAATCAAACAGCCTTTTTGCACAATGCGGAGGATTAACCCCTTAGGCTCCACAGTGAGTATAACAAGCATGCTTTACTACATATACAGTCTGATTTTACTTTTGTGGGTTTAGTAACACTTTAATGCAGAGGATGCATTCAGGTAAAAAAGGTTTAGAGTTTAAGACCACTTTAATCATTGCTACTACTATGTAGTGCCCGCTTTCATCAGGTCCTTAAAGGATATCTAAGCCTAAAAACAAAAACTTACTATTTTACAGCTTACCAGCCCTTGATGTGAGGGCTGCATTCATTTTCTTTTTTCAGGTCAAGAAGATTTTCAGAAAGTACAGAAAATGCCTGTTGATCTTGCAGGAAATGCAGTGTCCTTGTCACTTCATGTGAACTAAACTTAAGGCTCCATGCACACTGTACTCCAAAGGATGCCTAGGAGAAAAGCCGCTGGAAAAACATGGTAAAAACCCAGTTTTTGCATGCGCTTCTATGTGCATTTGCACACGTTTATGTGCATTTGGCTTTTTAATATTAATTTATTCTGGCCATTAGGATGTATTAACGCATATAAACGCAAACGCTAATGTGTGTTTATGTGCATTAATGTGTGTTTGCGTGTTTTTTCAGGCCAAATGCTCCTCTTTTTATTTTTGCCTCTAAACGTTCCTGTTGCTAAATGTTTGTAATCGCCTATGTCTGCATGGGACATAGGTTAACATGTAGGTGCGTTTAGAGGCAAGGAAACTAAAAAAAGTCAAATGCCTGTAAAACAGGTGTTTTTTTGAGCTGCAGTGTGCATGAGCCCAGGGGCATATTTACCACAAGGCAAACAAGGCATTTGCCTAGGGCGGCATTTTTCAGGGGGGCAGCTGCATTTTTCAAGGAGGGAAGCGCCGCCCCCCTGAAAGAAGGGATGGAAGAAAGGACGCACGCAGCATGGGGACCAGGTGGGATTTAGGAGAGGCTGCGGGCTACTTGATGGTGTATGTAGAGCCTGACTCTTGTTCATGGGGATGTCCGGAGCTGTGAAGGTGAGTGTCTTCTCTCTTGCTGGGGTGGGGAGGTTGTCAGTGTATGGGGGGGCAGTGGTAGTGGAAGGCTCTCTTGGGTGGAGGTGGGGTGTTGTTGGTCAATGTCAGGCTCTCTTTTTGGGGGAGGGGGTGTTGGTCGGTGTCAGGGTCTCTCCTTGATGGGGGGGGGGGTCCGATTTTTGTGTTGCATAGGGCAGCAGGAAACCTAAATACACCCCTGTATGAGCCCTAAAAGCACAACATTGCTAACTGCCCCCACAGCTATTTTCTGTAAACTATGTAATGTAGATGAAGCCAGAGGAAGGTGTTTTTGTAGTCCAAATAAGAAAGGCAGTATGGGTTACAACCATGGCAATGACGATAGATACAGTAGGGTATATAGATAGATATAGTAAAGGTCTGATGAAATAGAAAATCAATGCAGCCACCATATCTTAGATCTAGTAAGCCACAATATATTAAATTTTGGTTTTGTGGGTTAAGATACACACTTTACCTTTGCTTCAACACTGCAGCTTTAAAGATACGACAGAAGTCTGTTTACAGTATGAATCCTAACAGATCCTCTTTAATATGCCAATGGATGGTCACAAGTCAACTCACCCCAGTACACTTGAAAAGCTAATTAACCATAAAAAAGCATTACCCTTCTTTGAAGTAAAAATTATATAGAGTAACTTCATATTAAATATTTGGTTATGAAAAGAGTAGGTTCATTTTATATAATTACACATAGGTTTATGTGGCTGGAAATCCATGGCCACATGTGTGTGTGCGCGTGTGTGCGTGCGTGTGTAGATATATATAAAATGACCTATCAGCAATTGATTATATTGTAAGTGTGACTAGAATAAACAAATGTGTGGTTCCTGTGGCCAACTGTGTGCTGGCCATATAATGACGTTAGATCTGATCCAGTCGCTATCATATTTTCTCCTGCATGCTTCCCTGACTCATGTATAATGTATGTTGTTGACCCTTTCAGCCATATTTAGTGAGCAGTGTTCCTCTTCTTGCAGCCCCCCATTGGGAGCTGCAAGAAGGAACCTCTCTGGAAATATGGGCTCTTGTCACCTATTCTTTTTTTCCTTTCTTTTCCTCCTTTCTCTCTCAGGCTAAAGTAAACAATGAGATTCTAAATTACAAGGACTTAGCTGCTCTTCCTAAGATTAAAGCAATCTACGCAGTGCAGCGCCCTGACCTCATTTCTTACGAGCCTTATAGCAGATACACGTCGGATGAGATGCTGGAAAGATACAGCTATGGGGAGGTACAGAACTGATGTTAGCCCAATGATGCTGCTTGCAGCCAGCCTAATTCCTGCCATGCCTTTTTCCTTTGCCATTGACTACATACTTCTACCACAGAGAGGGTTTGGATGGGCTCTGTCCAATTGTTGTTGACCTACAATTCTCAGCTTACAACGCTAGCTAGCAACGACCTGACATTCAAGCATGCTAAAAGTTGTACCTCAACAACAACTGCGTAGAACTATGTATGACTTGCTATTCGGTGGTTTCTCTTGTGTTTGTATTAATTTCTTGATCATGAAAGCTAATGTGTAGACTGATACACTGGGATGTATTTAAAGTGGAACTTTATTCAGAAAATTAAGTGATGCTAGATCACTTCATTTTGGCCCCTTGTACAGGTATAACTACGAACTTCAGCACTGTAAAGCTCCTGTCAGCCTTCCTCTCTTGCTGAGCCAAGACATACTGTACAATCAAGGCTGGAAATGCACACATTTTAATTACCAAAAGCGACATATAGTTTTTGAGGCTAAGATAGGAAGAGCTTCCAAAACATAAGTGACTGCTCTGGGCTTCAACAAAATGACAGCCTCCAGCAAGAAGAAACAGGAACCATGCTGGAGGCAATTTACAGCACACACTAATTTTGGAAGCATAATTATTCATGAGAAATGTGTATTATTTTGTTAAAGAACATTAAATGTTATCAAACTGTTATAGGTAAAGTTCCACTTTAAAAAAAATCGCATAGATACAGTATTTGTCCAGTGAAACTGATGTTGCATTTTTTTTTTGTGCAAATGGAGAAAAATTGAATGTTCTCCTTCTACAGGTGTAATGTTCTTCCTTTGTAAACTTGAGAGGTTTGGGGGAATACCGCATTATGGCAACTAAATGAAACTGGGGATCAGCATTTATTCCCTGTGATCCTCAGCTCCATCTAGATTTTGCCCCATTCGCAAAGAACGAATGTACCAGCAGTTCACTAGACAATTAGCTATCCATTTTTTTAATAAATACACCCCATTGTTACCTGTAAGAATGATTTGTTACAGTTGATTGTTACAGTAGAATGATTTATTAGTTGTAGCATCATTTTCATTATGGCCTAGGATCTTCATAACAGCACTTGAAATGTTTCAGTGTTCTGTTTGCAATGTACAGCTACCTTAGGCTCTAATAACTTGAAGGCTACTAAACTGACTGCTTTTCATTCCTGAAAGTTGAAGTAGAGGGAAATTAGATCTTTTATCATCAAACCTGCATTAGAATTTAAAATTGCTGGACTCTGCATACGCCCTCAACACATTTCCTGTGGTAAAGGAGGTTTATGCTGCCAGAGGAGAACAAGTTTATGTGGTGCTGTAGAATGTCAACACAGGTTTCCTTCACAACAAAGCACATTTCAAGTTTGATTCAAGCCAAGACATTTTTTTCCAGTTTTGCAAAGAGAGAAAACAAATGGATCAATGTCCAGTTATAGTGCTGTCTGTGGTCCCCGTTGGGGTGGTATTTCCTAATTTTCTATCCTGGTGACATGTTAACAGAACTGGAAGTTAGAAAATGTCCAAGAAAGACACAAACAGAAGCAAGAACACCATTTTTTGGTAGAGTAAGGGTCCGTTCACACTGCCCGCACACCAAACTCTCCGGTTTAGTGTACGGTAGCTTGGGCTGACATCTGTATCACACAGTTCCCATAGTTTTTTTTTTTTTTTTTTTCTTTTCATCTTTATTTTAAGTGCACATCATGGTGTGTTGGACTGTTGTGCAGTGACATGTGGTGCCTACTGGTGCACTGCAGTAAATTGCAGCATGTCTGGATTTTATCGCAGCTCACTGCACCACACCTCTGGGGTGTGTAGCAGTGCAAACTAGGCACATAGACGACAATTGTTTTCCACATGCCCTAGCAGTGACTTGCATTCTTCCAGTGCAGAAAAATGCCAGTCACTATGTGAATGATCCCAAAAGGAAGCCTATAACCCCTGCCAGCTTTGCATTGCTGACTGTGTCCCAGTTGGAGGTTTTCCCTTACTGCCTGTCTAGGTGAATATTTAATCAGCGGACCAGCAAATTAAAGAAAATCGACAAGGCAATGCAAATGGAAACAATGTAACAAAAATTGAAGCACCACGCCACTGCTAAGAGGCTCCAATAAAAGTCATGGGACAGTTTAAAGACTCTTTGGACTGCCCTCCTGATTTTTATTGGAATTCATTTGAAGCTGGACCTCTTAGCAGTGATGTTGTCTTTCAGTTTCTTTTTTTGTTACATTACGCTTCAAGCCAAGGAGACCATGAAGATACTCTAAATTGTACAAGCCGCCTGCATGAGAACCAGATTATTTTACATCAACATCAATACTTTAAGAGAGAAAAAAACCGTTAAGATAACCTTATGGTTCCAGCACTATTTTTCCACTTTCATCAATTATCAGACTGCAATAAAATCTGACAGATGTTCTTATACCTCTTAACTGTACCCAAAACCAAAAGTTTTCGCCCTTGTCCAAGCTGGCAATGAAGCTGAATGCTGAAGTGCATTTTGCAATACACACTCAATATCCTGTGTGCAGCGATATGGAGGCATGTTCCATAGACTATAGTGAAAAGTGACCTACTAGGAATCCTTATCAAATCACTTAAACAGCACTTTGAAAACTTCACAGCTGTGAATGAAGCCTTATATGGAAGAAACGCCAGATCACAGATAAAAATACTACTGGACCCGAAACGATGCCAGGTTTTGGGTGGATTTTTGTTTATTTATGTTTGTCAATGTTGTTTTCAGAAATTATCCCTCTTAATGCCAACCAGGTTCTTATTCACTCTCATTTCCTGCTCTCCAAAGGATATCTATGAAGGAATGGATCTGCGACAAAGGAGGTCATCCAGCCCAGGATATATTGATTCTCCTCTTTATAGCCATCGAGATGTTTCCCTCACCATGCCCCGCTCCCCACAGCATTACTACATGTCGGGTATGTTGCTACCTCCTGCTAGTACTCTTTAGAGATGGAGAATTGATTATATTATCCATAGCAGCTCTCCTTAGAACATCAAGCTAATACGTAACTGGATAGTGATCAGAAAGATTCAGGATCCATTTACATCCTTGCAGTGCATTATATTATTACATACACAGGTTAACATGGGTTTGATTGAGCTGATAAACGCACCAAAATGCATCAAAAAGGTTTATGTAGCATTTTTGTCAGGACTCCTCAATGTATTAAGTGTGTGTAAGCACCTTGTGCTGTGCTTCAACACATTTCCATCAGCAAAGTGGCATTCACAATTAATGGTACTGAAGTGAACATTGCATGTTGCAGTAATGCGCATCGCGGTAGTGCATACATATCAATATGAAACTGGTCTCAAAGAAGCAACATTTTAACATAATGGGCACTTCCATCCAGTGTCCGGACAAGGTCATCTAGTGCCCAGGACAAAGACTTCCAAAGGCCCACCCCCAAAATGTGTGAGAAACCCCCCCCCCCCCCCCCAAAAAAACAAAAACAAATTCCGGCACTAATCTTCACTCTTACCCTCTAAGCATAAGTTCCCTTTACAAGGCAAATTTCTCCTCAAACAAAAATTCCCCCTTTTCCAGTAGAAGTCTCCCCTCCAAGCACAAATCCTCTACCCCTTAAATATCTCCTCTGAACATAAATTCCCCACAATACCCTCTCCAAGCTCTAATCCTCCCCCCTCCAAATTTCCCCTCCTAGCACAAACCATTCCCTCCAAAACCCCCTTCCTAACAGAAATACACCCTCCTAGTACAAATCCGCCCCTCCAAATCACCCCTTCTAGCAAACCCCTAAATTCCCTCTGTGTCTAAGGCAGCTGTCCCTCCTGCCCTCCCCTTGTCCTGTTCCTGCTTCTATCACCGTTTTTAGTAAATAGGTTACATTTAAAATGCCTTCATTCTTCCAGCTATAGAAGACAACATTTAGAAACATTTATTTATTTTATTTATTTTAGGTACTTATATAGTTCCGTCAATTTATGCAGCACTTTACATATATATTGTACATTCAAATCAGTCCCTAACCCTCAAGGGGCATACAATCTAAGGTCCCTAGCTCACATTCATACATATGCATACTAGGGTCAATTTAGACAGGAGCCAATTCACCTTCCAGCATGTCTTTGGACGGTGGGGGAGAAACCGGAGTACCCAGAGGAAACCTGTGCAGGCACAGGGAGAACATGCAAACTCCAGGCAGGTGGTGCTGTGGTTGGAATTCGAACCAATGACCCTAGTACTGCCAGGCAGAAGTGCTAACCATTTAGCATCTGATTCTAGATGCCTAATATGATATACTGCATCTATCATATTGAGTGGTAATTCATACCCGAGTATGAGTAGCGTGAACCATACAGCAGAAAACTATTTCATTATGTGATTCTGAGAGTTCAAGTATACAATGTTTATATTGCAGTTCCTTATAAAGAAGAATGAATCTTACCCCCAGCAGGATGGTATAATAGTCCTTTTAATAAGATTTGCTTAAATATTCATAAATGATTAAAGAACTAGTCATGAGCTACAAGTCTAAGACCTGTTATTTGTTGGGTCAGTTACCAAAGTTAGCTAAATGTTCAGTTTTTTCTTTTTTTTTTTGCCAAAAGAGAAGAAACATTTTGCATTTTGTCATAATTTAACAAACGATTCCCATTGGTTTATTTTCCATGCAAAGTTTATCAAAAGACAGCTAAATCTTTGTTATGCTGAACAAAAATTTGACCTGTTTATAGTTAAAGGAAGACATTGTGGAGGTACACCAACAGTCACAATTCTTTCTTTTAACACATTTAACTTTGGCAGAGTGCGTTTAAAATCTAGTGCTGGATTTAAAAGTGCAAATGATAAACTGATTTTTTTTTTTTACTATTATATATTTTTTTGCCATTGAATATGGTAAATGCCAACTTCCTCCTTCATAACCTCAAGATGGCACCAACAGAGCTGTCCCATCTTGACTGTGATGACCCTCTAAATCTTGGCTCCTCACTGTCTTTGCTTTTCTTCTTTTTTTTCTCTTCTTGCTGTGAATTCTTTCCTCTTTGCTTCATTTCATTTTATTTTCTATTATTCTTTTGCACTTTTTCAAATTCTCCATGCCATTTCTTTTTCAATGCATGTCCATAAACATTCTTCCAGGCACAGAGAGTGGCCGTAACTCCCCTTATTATAGCCAGGTAGATGTTCGTTGCTCCACACCGACCCTTTACCAAGCTCCTCGGCACTTCCATATTCCAGGTAGGAAAGCAAGTAGGACCTTTGGAAAGTAACAATGAAATATGACCTTTCTTTCATCTGTTTAAGGGAGTATCCTCTCCATGTATATGGTAGGTCCAGGTCTTCCTCATAATAGCAGAAGGTTCCTTATGTGCAACGATTGTTGATTGTTTTCACGTCCCCAGGAATACCATCATCCCTTCAAATCAATATATAAAGAAAAAAATATGTGGATTGGGATTTTTTGCTGGCATTCAGACTATTAGTTCATAAAAATGCTATTTTTATTTTCACTATTGTATCACATCTATTAAAAATGACACAGATAAATGTTAAAATGATAAGTGATCATAGCGACAGCTTGGGTATAGTATTGTCATAACTGACGTATTTTGATATACTCTCTTCTTCACAGAAACAGAACCTTATAAAAGGTTGATAAGCCCTATGTTGGTTATACTACGTTAGATTTCAATGGCCCTTTTAAAATCTTTGTTTTCTACACCTTTATTTGGTTTCCTTTTTCAGAATCTGTGGAACTATCTTTGCAACTTGCTGCACGACTTTGGGCCTCCATATTTTACCCCAGCCTGTGACCCTTTTATGGTTGAACGGCTTCAATTTCTGCTAAGAGTGGCACCTGTGATCCTGTCAAGCAAGACGTCACTGGGCCTCCTGCATGGTAGTGGGTGGGTGTCCCCCTACAGCAATGTGTTTTTATCATCAATGTTCAGTGATCCCTTCGGTTCTTCTGTGCCTTCTCTGTTTCCTAGAAGAAGAGAATATCTTGAAACATGTCAGATATGAGAATAATATACTCAAGCTGTTGCTATGATCACTTATAATTTTAACATTTGTCTGTGTAATTTTTAATGGATGTGTTAAAATATGTGACAATAAAAAATGGATTTTTATGAAACTAAAAGTCTTGATGCCTGTAAAATCCCAATACACATACATTTTTCCTTTATAGAGTGGTCAAAGTCCTTCCTTTCAAATGTAATAGCACACAAACAGGTGTGTATTTAGTAAGGCAGTACAAAATGCAACAATGACTATGAAAGAGCAATAACACTTAGGAATCAGTTAGAAGGCAGTTCTTTGTAGCCAACCAGAGATGAGTTCTGATATCTTGATTTTTGTTAATACATATCTGTAAAACAAACCTGTACTTGATGTCTCCATTACAGAACTTGTAATATGTTTGCTATATGCTTCACTGAATCTTTGCAATCACTGAGCTCCACTGGTTCATTACCACGTCAGGGTTTAAAACTTCATGCTGGCACCACCATCTTGCAAATCCTGAAGGTGTTACATGGGATGGATTCTGGCAGTCATTAGGAGCTTCCCTACCACAGAGACTTTGACATAGGCACATTTCCGGCTGCTGCACTTCAACTCAGTTTTCACTTTGCGTAGGTTCAAGATTCCATGGAGTTAGGGTCAAGACTCCATGGAGTTTACTATAAGTCCTGTGTAGGGGTTATTCTACACGGTTACACTTTAAAGGTCATATTTCAGCATTTCAAAAGGTGATTATTTTGCTATTGTTTATTGCTCATTGTTGCATTTTGCACTATTAAAGCCTGAGTGTCTTTTTATGTGTCAGAGGTGAAGGGCCCATAGAGCCAACATGCCTGTAGCACATGCGGCAAGGACATTTAGGGGTTTATTTACTAAAGCTGGAGAGTGCAAAATCAGACTCACTTCTGCATAGAAACCAATCAGCTTCCAGGTTTCATTGCCAAAGCTTCATTGAACAAGCTGAGGTTAGAAGCTGATTGGTTTCTATGCAGAAGGGAGTCTGATTTTGGACTCTCCAGCTTTAGTAAATAAACCCCTTAATGTCTAGTCTGCTGTTCCTCAGTTTCAGTCCTCATAGTCCACCAACAGTTCCTATTTTTCTGCTCTCCTCACACAATTAAAGGTGAAATAATCTTCATATTGTTTTTACATTGTAACTACTTGAAAATCTGGAAAACATGCACGGTTAGTAATTGGTGGCTAATGAGGACCACGTTTCATTTGAGAATTACTAACCTAGGTTATATCCACATCTGATATAGCCAGTTACCCAAGTTGTATCGGACATTTTGTGGTATGAATGTAGTGTTGTAAAAATAAAATCTATGCAGATTTGACATGTGTTACCTGTATGTTCCTGCATACCAAGTAGTGCCAATTCCCTCAAATACTCAGCACTGGTAACCTCACAATACCACAGTATTTCACAGTACACATCACCCTCTAACTTGTCCCCAAGCTGTATGACCAGTTTATATAACAATTTTGACCCATTTTTTTCATTGCTCACAACTTCTTCTCACCTAATTTCTGTTTTGTTTTGTTTTTTTTTGCCACTCACCTCTGCTTGTCACCTTTCTGACATCATGACTCTGTCTTGTGTGATCGTTGTCTCCTATACTTCCTCACCTCTCTGAACACTCCCTCCTTCACTTTTCCTCCTGTCTTTTTCCTCTCTCGTTCTCCCTTTTCCTCTTCCTTTATCCTCACAGCCGCTGCAGAGAGTAACATTTACCGGAAACCGCCCATCTATAAACGGCATGGTACTGTTCAATCCTGTAGCATGCTGCACCCTGCTGTGTTGTGTGGACTACAGTGATTAGTGACTGGTGTTGTATGCTTGATTTATGTTTAGTGCTTGCATTCTACTCTGTAGAATCTTCATGTTTAATGTGGGTTGCATGCTTTATTAGGCTAAAATGCCTCTGTATAAGGGATTTAAAAACAAAATTAACTCTGCTTCTGATCGGGTGTCTCCTGGTGGTAACACAGAGGGTTTCCACCTCATACAACCTCCAAATAGGCAGCAAGGGACCTCTGTACTACTCTTGCTTGAAATGCTTTGTGGACTAATTTGCATTCACAGAAAAACAGAGATTTGTAGAATAATTACTAAAGGGAGCTCTGTATTTGATGTGGCTTCATTTAACCCCATGCTGACCATGCAACACATATATGCGTCAGCAAAAAAGGTGGGCTTTTATGTCCCCCGCCGTACATATGTGTCCATGGTGGCATCAGGTTGTATGCTGGGAGCACAGTTATTGGGCACTCCCAGCACACTGACCAAGTTGTCACCGCCAGCTCTTGGTCATGGCTTCTGATCAAGAGCCAATGGGATGGACTCCCAATCATGTGACAGCTGTGAGAGCCAATCACAGCTATCACTTGATACAGAAGCCATGCCATCTCTCAGGCATTTAAAGCCCACTTAAAACAACTGTCGAGAAAAGATATTAGTCCACAGTCAGTGAATTTAATCAATTTTCTAATAAACTTGTGTTGTGAGAAAGCACAACCATAGTTTGTACATCTAAAATTAAATACTATACATAAAGAGTTTTTTAAAATATATTACTTAGAAGGAATAATGGGAGCCGTTGTCCATTCTAAAAGAATGACAAAGATTTAATTGATCCATGTGGTGCACAGACAGATCCACCTGCTCCTCCAGCATTTAAAGCGTTTCACTCAATCATAGTCCTTATGAACCAGTGTTGAGCAGAGATCTGTCCCCCAGCATGCTATTAGGAGTGGTTTAACTGTTCAGTACAGCGAATAGGAAGTTAACAAATACATTGAAACCAATATTTAATACTGTGCATTGTGGCCTGACTTAATAACTGCGTATCAAAATCAAAAGGTTCAAATGGACTTTAGTGTTATGCTGCAATAACACATTTCATCAGCAAAAACCCAACAGCTGTGTGATGGCAGGTTCCCCTTGAACCTGTGTTAAGGGGTCCTGAACAGATACGGGAATTTCCTGTTTTTTTTCTGGACCTTCTGTTTACATTTCAGTTAAAAAAGATGTGATAAAAAGTAAATCTATAATAACTGCTAACGAACTAAAGTGATGCTGATGCTTCCAGTGCGCTGTGCATGCTTACTCCCTTTCCCCTACAATGCAGTGCTTGGTGTCTGAGCAATTGATAGAACACTGCTACCTGGAGGGCATAGAGGCATGCCTAGCCCTAAAAATACCATATTTCAGAAACGCTGTATTTGCATTGGATTTGTTTGGGGTTTTTTTTGGGGGGGGGGGGGGTGGGTCGTTAGTGCTCTGGGGAGGTAAAATGCATTGTGCTTATAGAATGTTCATGACCTTAGGGCTTTGCTAGCAGCCATTACAAGTTTACATTACATGCTGATCATGAAAAAGGTGAACAGTGATTTGCACTGATGAATAAGGAGACTGTAGGTCTGCAGTGTTATTACAAATTGCGCAGTTTTATATATTTCCCCAAGTCTTGAAAGTATACAGCAGAACTGTATTTATTAAATGCCGTATTTGTAGGAAGTACTCTACCATAAAACCTGATTAAAAATACATAGTTTATTCCTTGTTTGTCTTAGTTTTTAAAGCTGATTTTTCGCTAATATGCAGCTCAGCTATCTCCTGAACCAGACACCCAGGGTAATTTCATGCCTGTGTGCACCCAGCTTTGACATGACTCTAAATAAATAGCAACCTTCTATCTACACTATATCTATAAACCAAAAAAAGAGATCTAGTAGAGATCACACAACTCTATGCCAACATCTCTATTCTGACAGAAAAATTAATTTCCCATGGGACCATGGCAACATGTATTAAAATTGTTCTCATAAACTCATAACTCTTTATTATATCCAATAAGACTCATTAAAGTACAAAGTAATGGCTGATATGTACAAAGTGCTTATGCATTCCACATGAATGCCCAAACCAGGTACAATTATCATACCATCACCATAGTTGTCCTCATTCATTAGATCCTCGATCATGGGTTGCAACCAATATGTTTTAAATGTTCTTCCTCAGGAGTTGATGGGTAGATCATATAAAATGCACTACAAATCATGCAAAGAATATTAGCCATATGTAATTAAAACAAAGGTGTGAAGAGACTTCATTTCACACCACCAGCCAGTCACAAGAACCTGCCCAACAGAAGAAACATGCACAAGGAGGCCACACGAGCAAGATAACCCCAGCTTGTGCTAAGTCTCCA